ATGCCGTAGGCTAGATAGTTTACAAACAACAGAAATAAAATTTGCTTTTCATAGTTCCAGAAGGCTGTGGAGTTCATGATCAAATGTTCCATTGACTGGCATCTGGGAAGCCCTTACCTGGCTCACAGAAAGCACCTACTGGCTATGTTCTCGTGATAGAAGGGACTGGCACTAACCCCATGGGGGACAAAGACATTTGGACTCCAGCAAGAGGCAAAAGTGGTATAGGAGCAACCGATAGAAAAACAAATATTTGGAGTTTCAAGTGAAATAAGAGTTTTGAGACATTGGTGACACTGCCAAATAACTGAATATATAGGAAGCAGTGATAAGCAAGTTTAACTCATCACAGATGGCAAGGAACAGTGAAAAAGTGACATTTAATGCTGAATGTGTCAGTAGAAGGATTTGTTTCAGTACTTTAGTTAGCTAATAGAGTTCCTAAATTATTAAATTGCTTATTTACAGAATTCTGGTCAGTATAAAATATAACCTAAAGCACTAACCTACTAAAGCTTGGCTTAGGTAACTTCTGTAATGTAACAAATATGAAGAATGTTTATTCATCTATAGGTACTAGGAATTCTTTACACAATGTGAAGCAGTATCTTAGATATTTTTGTCTTGCATGATATATTTCATTTTAAGCTCTCTGAGCTTCAGTTTTCCCATCTGTATAATACAGATCATAACCACACAGTACTGGGTTGTTTAAAGCACTAAGTAGCCCAGAGCTTGGTGTATAGGGAACTTCGTCAAAACAGTTGCTGCCATTAATACCATGCCTGAAAAAAATTCATCACCAGAAAAAAAGATTTTGATAATGTGATAATTGTCTCTAAATAAAATTGCATCATTTTTTAGAAAAAAATATTTGAAGTGTAAGTAATGACCATTCCTTTTTTTTTGCCATAGATATTAACTCTTATTAATTTAAGGTTAACATTGTATTTGCTTTGTTGATTTCTCTTTCCAGAGATTGGATTCAATAAACAATGGCTAGAATTCCCCCATCCCTAACCTGGCTCACAGGTGACAAGTTCACTGTGGTCAAAGGTCGAGGCGGAGTGGCTGTAGTGGAGAGAGTAGGGCAACAAGTGATGACCATTTCAATGCCCCTTTCTTGGTACTTATTCTTAGCTTTTCCATATATTTCTAGTCTGTTTTTGTTATTCGTAAGCAATGTCCTTTTCCTCCAAACCCTGGCTGTTGAGGAATCCAATTTCCGAAGAAATTACTTGAGATGGTCAAGGTCACTAGGTGATTCTGATGTTAGAAGTAGCATCTAAATGCAGATACAGCTCAATGATATGTTGCTCCTGTTTCACATACTAAAACTGTGTGATTTGGGGGCCAGCATTGTAGTGTAGTGAATTAGACTGCTGCCTGCAAAACAAACATCATTTATGAGTGCCAGTTCAAGTCCCAACTGCTCTATTTCTGATCCAGCTTCCTGCTGGTTTGCCTGGAAAAGCAGAAGAAAATGGCCCAAGTCTTCAGGCCTCTGTGCCTATGTAGCAGATGTAAATGAAGCTCCTGGGTTCTGGACTGAGCCCATCCCAGCCCTGGCCATTGCAGCCATTTGAGGAGTGAACCAGTGAATGGAATATCTCTCTGCATCTTCTTTGTAACTGTGTCTTAAAAATATATAAATAAATCTTTATAAAGAGAAGAGTATCATGTAGTTATGGGATTCTGCCATGCATCTTCTGTTTTGACATTTGCTTCAACATCAGTAATTCTCATTGGCATTTCTTTTGTGGCTTTCTCTTAAAATCCTGGTTGAACTTTTAACGTTTAAGTAAATAAGAATCCCAACTGCATGAGGTTCTTTGATTAAGGCATAGCTTCGTATGGTTCATGAAATACTTTCATGTTCTGCCTTTTAAAGTTGGTGGTAAGAGGTCGTTGTATAACCTTATACAAAAAGATTTTTTAGAAATAGATTTAAGTAAATGGGAAAGATAGAAAATTCTTAGAAGTAGCCACATCCAGCTTATTACCTTATTGTCAAACATTTACAAATACACATGAATAAATTCCTTTGACTTTTGTGTGTCAAGTCAAATAGTAAAGAGGACTGAACATTAAGTGTTTTCCTTAAAAAACTTAAGCATTTGTCATTCTTTTGTTCGTTTATTCGCTTCATTCTCACATAATTCTAAAAACATTTCATTGGTGCTGACATGTGACTCAAATTTGAGGTAAAGAAATAGTTACTGGGATTTATGTCCTGTCTTTGAGTATCAAATGATCAGGCAAAGTGATTTTAAGCTAGTAATCTCTCCCAAAAGAAGTAATTTTATCTTTCCTCTTTTTTTAAAAAAAATTATTTTTATTGTAAAGGCAGATATACAGAGAGAAGGAGAGACAGAGAAATCTTCTGTCTGCTGGTTCACTCCCCAAATGGTCCCAGTGGCTAGAGCTAAGCCAATCTAAAGTCAGGAGATTCTTCTGTGTCTCCCACGCAGGTGCAGGGTTGCAAGGCCTTGAGCCATCCGCTGCTGCTTTCCCAGGCCAGAAGCAGGGAGCTGGATGGGAAGTAGAGCCTCTGGGATGCGAGCTGGCTTCCATATGGGGTCCTGACATGTGTAAGGCAATGACTTTAGCCACTAAGCTACTGTGTTGGGCCCCTTTCCTTCCTTTAAAGAGTTCATCAGATCTAGACTTGACAGTTGTTAAACCTAAGTGTTTCTTGTACAGTCAAATGAAATTGCAAATAATGTCTACTTGTTTGCGGAAGATGACTGAGAAGGACACTTTTAAGTAAGATGACTATCGTATTTTATAATGTCCAATTTACTATGCCATTTCTTTTTTGGAGTTCTTGACAAAGACATTTATAAAATAGTATTTTTCTCCTGTCTTGCCCCTTGGTGTATTGCTCAGTTACAGTACTTTTCATTGTATTTGAAATCAGCCACCCATACAGTTGCCAGACAGCTTTATGAGCCATACATTCTTTTTTTAAAAAAAAATTTTTAACTTCTTTTCATTATTATAGTTTTATGATACAGTTCCAAGGGCCTTGGATTTCCCTTACCCCTCCCCATTTTCCTTCCCCCGCCACTGAGTTCCCCTATATTGTTACTATAGTATAGTTCTTCATACATAGTCATATGTGTATCATTGCAGGCATGGACAATAGCAGAGAGTCCAGCATCCTATTGTCACAATAGAGTTAACAGTTTCATGGGGAGTCCATGTTTGATCTGGAAGTAGAGATGCATACGGCATTGTATCCTCATATCTGGATATGATAGTCTCCATTACACTCAGTTACTAGTATATTTCCCCTTAAATGAAAAGCCACAATACAAAATCAGCAACAGGAAAAAAATGAGCCATACATTCTTGTGTTTGGAGGTGGCATAGACGCTGAGAGGAAATAGACTACTCCCATGATTAACACTTATGGCCCAGTTGTGGATATCTAAGTAAGATGATGAAACATCCAAATTCTGCTCATAACCCCAACCAAATTATGTGGTTGGAATATGACACAGATAAGTTACATGCTATTTTGAACTTCTTTTTATTCACTCAGATAATATTGCACTTTGTTCCCTTTGTTAAAACAAAAAAATGAGATAAGTGTTCCTGCGGCCACCATACACTCCAGTAGACATGGCCATCTGCATAGGAAATGCCCACACTGTACAGTTGACAGAGTGACTGGATGCTGGACATTTTAAGAGGAGGATCTATCTGCTGTTTGTGAATTTTTCTTGTTTGACTCAGGTGGACTCAAGCCAAGGAAAATTAGGAACTCGAATTCCCCAATGTTGAGGAAGAGAAAACCCAGAGGATAATGAATCTGGACTGTGGTAGAATAGCAGAAAGGAAGAGAGGAAGCAGGGTCTTGGCCAGGATCCACTTAGGTTTACTTACAGAGAAGTTATTAAACTCAGTATGTGTGAGTTCATGTGCTTCTTTCAAATACTTTTAGTTACAACCACATATAAAATTATTTCTAATTATTGTATATGTTCACATAACTTACACATTAAATAGCTACCATTTACACCTGTTTTATGGTAAGGATTTTTCAATGTACTATTTTTTTTTATTGGAAAGTCAGATTTACAGAGAGGATGAGAGACAGAGAGGAAGATCTTCCATCTGATAATTTACTCCCCAAGTGGCTGCAATGGTCGGAGCTGCGCTGATCCAAAGCCAGGTGCCAGGAGCTTCTTCTAATCCCAAGGCATTGGGTTGTCCTCTAACTGCTTTCCCAGGTCACAACAGGGAGCTAGATGGGAAGCAGGGCTGCTGGGACATGAGCCGGTGCCCATATGGAATCCCAGCACATGTAAGATAAGGACTTTAGCCACCAGGCTACCATGCCAGGCCCTAAATGCACTATTTTTGAGGATTTTCAACTTATAATTTTTAATGCTGTTACTCCTATTTTACTGGTAGTGACATGGGGATTCAGAGAAGTACTCTGTTCTGTGGTGGAACAGTAGGATTCAGGATAGATGCTTGTCTTGGCCTCAGCTTGCCACAGAGAATTAGTACCTGGTGTATGTGAGTGGAGTGTGTTTAATGACTTTAACTCATTAAATGGCTTAAATACTTTATCTCATTCTAATGTTATTCTGGCTTTCTGAACATCATCTCTTTTATTTACAGAAAAAGCTCTCTAAATGTGTAGCTGCATATACTAGGGGGCTCTGCCTAGACACAGTGGGATCCCACTTGTACATCAGTTGAATATCAACTCAAGTTGACATTTAAGTCCTCACAAAACCTAAACAATAGACAGTGTTTTAAACTCTTTGGACTGGTTAGTACTCTTTAAAAATTGCACATACAACACAACATTATTCTGATACTCCTTTTCTCAGTCTACTCTCCATTTGCAGTTATGACATTCAATTTCTAGCTTGCAAGTTTTTTTTGGATTTGTATGTCTTGTTGGGTCATTGAAAACATAAAGTAAATGAACCTGCAGAACTTCTTGACTCAGTATGTGCCCTGTTTTTCCCTTTTTCTAGGTCTATTATTAGCAGAAGATTTTTCTGCATAGTTGGCACGCTGTACCTGTATCGGTGTATTACAATGTATGTTACCACACTCCCAGTACCCGGTATGCATTTCAACTGTTCTCCAAAGGTAAATTATTCCTCACTTAATTTCCTTTCTATTTGTTTCTCTTTTTGCCCTGGGGTCCTCTGACTAAGGCCAAAGATGAAAATTTCTTCAGAATACAGTCGAGTCTCTCTCCCTGCTTCTTGAAGTGTTCATAAGCAGTGGGGCTAGGCAGCCTTACCTGGTCAGAGTTTTCAAGTCCCGCCAGTGCTTCCCAGATGGGGAATAGATGGGCTAGTTAGTGTGTTGGGAGCAGTAGAGCTGTGTGTGGGTGTAGCTCTTTGGTTTCCTGCCAGACTTCTAAAACATCATGAACTCCGCTTGACACAGATCCAGAGCTTTTGTCTGCTTTCTTCCTTCCTCGAGTGGAGAGTTCAATCTGAAATGATTTTTTTTCCTTCTATTAATCCTACAGTAGAGCAAGCAAAAGAAAATATTCATATTCCCTTGTAACACTCCAAGAATTCAAATAAGATCACTGTTGCAGGAGGTAACTTTTGCCTTATTGATCTTCTCTAGTAGAAAAGACTTTTTAAAAAAACAAACTTTATTCTTCTCTTATAATTTCTGGCTTCACCTCAGATGTCCCAAACACTCTTTACCCTTTAACATTTACGTTGGAAGAATTTTTATTAGGGAGCTGCCTATAACTTAATGAAATAGCAGGGTCATACATTTTTAAAAATTTTTACATGCGTTCAATTTCTGTGTTACAGTAAGGAAGCAGATCAAACTAATTTCTCTTCTTGATGTTAGTGGGAAAAAGTATGAAAGACTATAGGTTGTTTGAAATCATTTCTTTGTAATGCACCTATATTGACAGAACTGCCAAACTCTCTCAGTCTCATTCCTCTGTACTTTTGGACATTCTCCAAGACAGAAGCTTGAGCTAGAGGGCTGGAAGAAAAAAATCGCCGTGAGGTTTACAAGTGGTGTCTTCATCATGGAAAATGCTGGGTCACTTTGGTGTGTGCACTGTGGTCCTCCTTCCTTCTTAAGCTTATTTTTGTTACTACAGAAGGGACCAGATTCTTAACTCTTGTCCATTTTTTGTCATATCCTGATTCCTTTATTCTGTAATGGAGCTCCCAACATCCCTATCCTCTCTGTTGGCAGTCCTGCTAGTCTACACTCTTTAAGATTGCTGTTTCTTGAGCCCTTCCAAAGAAGCCAGCCTCACATTTTTTTCATCTTCTATAAAAATGTTCAAGCATTTGCTCATCTTCATCACCAGGGTCACAGGAAATCTCATGGTGTCATTAAAAACCCAGTGATGTAGGTTTCTCCTCGGAGACCGGCATGATAAAACATCACTTTGCCGGCAGTGAACTGACAGTTGTTGACATGTGTCTTGGTTCAGTTCAGCTACTTTAAAAGCCTGTGCATTAAGAAATTTGACTACCAGGAGATGGATAACTAGAGGTGGGTTCTGGCTGAGCACATACTGAAGATTCACCCAAAGCTGGGGCACTGTGCCACGCAGCCCTCTGCTTCTCTGGCTGTAGCCCTGTTGCTTTGTGAGACTCTCATCACCTGAGCCCAGACTTTGGTCAATCTTTAGTGACCATGCTTGACTTGCTCAACTATCTCACCAACATTCTGTAGCTAAGAATAGCTTGTGGCTTTCCTGATAAAGGCAAATGTAGCAACAAGAACTGTGCAAAAATGCTCAACTCAAGTTGTGCTTCTTTATTGTATTGGCAGAAATCCCTACTAAGCCCATCCTCCTGTGACAGTAATGAGTAGGATACCAACACATCCTAGCAACACTGAGTTGGGAAAACTCCCTGAGTCTGAGCACTTCTTTGGTGGAATAGGACTTTTGGAATAAATGATTCAAAATACATTGTCACAATTCTGTAACATTTTAGATGTATTCCAAAGTAGAGAAACAAGAATAAGGAATTCTAATATATCCAACTATATTTAATAGTTTCCAGTATCTTTTTCTTTTTCTTTTTTGCAAATAAATCCCCAAAAACATTACTTTGTTTCTATTTAAGTTTGTATATTTCTCAAAATTGTGAAGATTTTTTTGCACAGTCGTAATGCTGATGATACTCAATGAAATTAACATAATTCTTTGATATCAGCACATACCAGCTCATGGAGAATATTACTTTCTAAAATGCCATTTTTTAATGATTATTGCAGTTGGTTTTTATAAATTGGGACACAAAGCCTTTGCAACTGCTTGCTCTGTTTCTTAAGTCTACAGTACCAGAACTGTCATTTCTCCTTTTTTCTCCCTGCTAGTGGCTTGTAGAGAGCAAGTCAGTCATTCTGGAGGATGTCCCATATGGTCAACTTAAAGTGTTTCTTTGTTGAGCCAGTTTACTTGTTCCTGTCTCCTGCATAGTTCCTCTGAATCACAAGTTGGCTCTGGAGACAGAATTAGATTCAGTTGTGATTGGGCATCAACCCCATTTCACAGGCAAAATGGAAAGATTTCCAACAAAAAGAATTGGAAAAGGCCTTGAAGATTTGGTGCTGCCCCATTTTGGTTAGTCAAGCCTTAGAAGTTTGTGGTCAGGAAAAGATTCCATGCTGCCTGGAAATCTGTGTTAGAAGGGAAAGAAGGGTGGCACCAGATAAAGACCTGAAGGTGGGGTGAGGGGAAACTTTATGTTCTTTATGTTGTTATTTGGGGTTTAGAAAATTAGAATCAAAAGGAACTTTATTACAAGTCACCTGCTCCAATAATGAGCTTGATATGTGATCATCATCAGCGTTTCTCAGAACCACTAAGTGGAGAGGAAACATATTTACCCTGATAAAATTACCTAGTAGCGGAGAGAGTCCTAAAATCAGGGTTCAAGATGTCTTGCAAGACCACTTACTAGCTTTGTGGCAATGCACCAGGGCGCTCTTTTAACTTTCCAGAAACTCAGTTGCTTTATTGACAAGGAAAAATAATAATAGCAAAAAAAGACTAATAACCCTTCTTTGTTGTTGTTATTTTGAATCTTAAGGAGTTGTGGGTTTGAAAGAAAACAATGTATAGGAGCCATGTCAGTGAAAGGTACCATACAGAAACTGGAAAAGAACTTAGGTTTGACATCCTTCAATCATCCAGTGAGAATTGATGTAGTAAGCATGCATGTTTTTCAGGGGATAAAATGTAAGGGAATGACAAGACAGATAAAGCTACTGCCTTTGTGGGAAGCATGTTAAAACCACCTAATTGAGACTTGTTCCTCATTTAATCAGTCTTTAAATGCTAAACCCAAGGTTCTAAGGATGAAGACACAAGATTTGAGTATTATTTAAGAAGTCAAAAGGATGCACCTTGGTAATAGGTTGATGCAGGCAGTGAGAATAGATGGAAAGTTTTTGAAGATTTTTATCACTTGGGATGGTTACAAGATGGGGTAAAGGGTCATTAGAATGTTGAATGAAGCATGCATTCCTGAAGGCACTTATTACATAGCTAAGTGGTATTGTCTAGGACAGTTATCAACATATGTGTAAAGTTGAGGAAAAAGTCAATACTAAAAAATAGATGTTTGTGATTTGCAATGAGCATACAATAGAGGGAGTTTTAAAGCTGTGGATATGAAATAAATGGCCCAGAGGTAGGACACACAAACATGGTGCTTTCACAGTGGGTTATCTGCTGATTTGAGACACTATTTGAGACATGTCAGTAGGTGGATACTCTTACAGTTACTCATTGATCAGCAGACTATGAGGCAAGAGAGTTGAACTTAAGACTGTGACTTTTTCCTTAACAGTCATACAAACTCAAATTTTGTTCCACCATCAATTAAGCCCTTTAATTATATAATACATAATGATCTTCTCAGTACCAGTTCTCAAAATGCATGACTTCTAAGAAAAGTGCTCCAACAAATCTGCAATAGTAATTCTAAAAATTAGTCTTGTTCTTCACTCATTTGATGGCTGTTCTCATCACAAAATGTAACTGCTTTGGGAAATTATCACAGTGACATGATGAGGAGGAAGGAAGGGTAGACCTCCCCTGAGAGGCTGCTGCTACAGTGATAAGCTGCTGGGTGCTGAGGAAGTAGGCGTGTTCTGTTACTCCATTATGAGTTTCTGGGAAGTACTTGTGCTATTTCCTGAGGAACACATTTGAAAGGCTTAACTGGAGGCTGCCAAGCTTTGATACTTTCATTAACCTGTGTTAGTCTGATTGCAGCTATACCCTCAGGAGCATGCATTCCGTCCCCCCAAACAACCTCTTCTTTTCTGATTACAACTATGAGCATTTGTGACTGAATAAAGAATTAAGACAGAAGCATCTCAGATGTTTTGGGGGCTCTAAGGTTTCTACAGAAAAGTTTTTATTCTGTTTTTGGCAAACTCCTTGGGGGGGGGTGGGAAACAAACCATTCAGTCCCCAGATCACAGATAGCTTAATGCCACACAGTTGTCAAGTTTAAATAATCACATGAGTTGGGTTAATAATGACCAAGCGTTACAGTGAGATGCATGTTTCATTCCATATTGTGATCTTCGTGGTGACCTTAGATTTGAAAACCTTTGGAAAGAAATTACTTTATAGCAATGGCATTTAGCTGGCTAATGGGTTAGTCAGATATGGAGGTTTTGGTGATATTCTCTTCAACTTGAAAGACTAAATTTGTTTGTTTGTTTGTTCTCAACACATGTGAACACAGCCCAGCAAGAATTAGATGTAGGTGATGTGACCTCTGTATTTGATTGGCGGAGCAATGAAATGTAAACGCAGCAGCAGAAAGGCCCATTCCTGCTCTCCAGCCTGCCAGCTCCTGTGCAGAGCCCCTCCTCTGAGTCACAGCTGAGCACTGATGGAGTTATCATCTCCCCTTGGGTCCCTTTTTTCTCTAAAGAGTCCTGTCTCCCCAGGCAAGAGCCTCTCTTCTTTGGGGACTTAGAGACTTCTTTCTTTGTTTCCGTGCTTATCAGGTGGCAGTTGCAATATTCCAGGTGCCCTTCACACTGACAGGTTTTGAGATTCTGATTAGCTCCTGCCAGTTCTCTCAGAACATGACTCCTCTTCTATTACCAAAATAACCTCATGCCATCCTTGTGAACTGAGAAACTGAAATTATCAGTACCTGTTTATTCTCTGCTTGCCTCCTGATGTCTAACTATCAGTATAATTTTCCTTTTTTATTCTGTGTTTCTGTTTGAATTTCTTATAGCCTTGTTCATGTCCAGTCCTGCCTTGACTTTCTTTTTTCCTCTGTCTATTCTCTATTATTTTTTTTCATTGTAAAGAAGCTGCATGTTCATTATCACTACATTGAAGAATCCAAAAACAGGGGAGACGGGGATTTACAGGGACACTCATGGCTGTTAATATTTAGTGGAGTTTCAATTTTACATCATGATATAAATCATGATATCTACATATTTTTGTTACTGTCTCCTTAGATTCAATGTTGCTACATGCATTTTTACATGATTTTATGGACCTTAATATTCTAAATGGTTTTCATGCTGAAAAGAAGATACCACTCTGTGGAAGGAAGTGGATTTACAATGACTTCATTTTCTGTCCACCTATTTTGTGCCTACCACTTTCCAAATGTTTTGTTGTCATGTCATTCCTACAAATGTGTGGGAGAAACTTGTAGTTGGTTCAGAGATCAGTGATGTCATTCGTGCCTCAGAGATGCTCAGTGGCAGAGACAAGAAGTTTAGTCACCTCTGTGTTCCTGATACTTCCATGAGGGAGCCAGGAAATACTTTAGCCTGTCTGATGTGGAGGGGAGAAAGGCCGAAACCAGGGCCCAGAGAGTCATTGGAAAGGTGAGAATGGTTTTCTCATGTCAACAGCTATCAAAGGAAGAGGTCCCAAAAGAAAGAGCTCATTGTGGAATTCTGGAGAGCCCTGCAGAACAGTACGTGAATGCATGAAACATAACCATGATCTTAGAGTGTGAGCAGATGGACAGTAGACCTCTGGTCCCACACTCCTAGCACATCAGGACCCCAGGAGGCTGCATTCAGAAGCCCTGCTGTCCTGCTGGAGAGGCTCCCACCCCCCATGGTTGAGACGATTTGAGCACAGTCCATGAATAATGACCTGGTGAGGTTAGAATAAATGAGTGAAATGTTTCTAATAATTAGTGAGAAGGAGGCTTTCTACCCAATAAAAATCAACTACTACGACATAAATTTAGAAATGCAGACTGACCATTTTGTAATCACTGTAGTAATAATCATAATTCAGAGTCATCAGTGGGTAAAAAGTTAAAGATCATCATATTTATATAATAATATCTATAACATACCAAGTGGGATTCCTGAAACCTGTCAGTGTTGTGAAAAAAGCAAAAACAACACAAAAAACAGATTGGGAAATTATAAATGACCAAGAAAAAAAAAACAATCCCTGGGTAGAAGCCTCCATGTATATTCTCCATATGGAGCCTAGGTGGAAGGAAAAAGCTCTCCAGAGTGTTGTTTCAAGCAGTTTGAATATGGACTGTTGACCAATGTAGTCTTGTGTCATTGTTACATTTTTGGGGAGTGTTTATGGAAGAGATTGTTGTTACTCTTATTGGTAGAAATGAAACGTTAGTAATACATGCAGCTTGTTCTCAAATGACCAAGGGGAAAATGAAAAAGAGAAGAATATGACAAAATGCTGTTAATAAGCCAAATTGCAGGGTTTATGATGTTCATTTTACAGTTCCTTAGATTTAGATTCAGTGGCAGGGGCAAAGTGTTGTGATGCAGCCGATTAAGCCACCATTTGGGATGCCCACATCCCATATCAAAGCTGAAACTGAATCCAACAAGCACTTCTGACCCAACTTTTTGCTCATATGCCTGAGAGGTAGTGGGTGACGCCTCAAGCACCATCATGGGAGAACTAGTTGGACTTCTGGCTCCTGTTTTCAGCTTGGCTCAGACATTGTTGCAAAATAAACAATGTTGATGGCCCCAGCGCAGTAGCCTAGTGGCTAAAGTCCTCACGTTGCATGCACCAGGATCACATATGGGCACCAGTTGTGTCCTGGCTACTCCACTTCCCTTCCAGCTCCCTGCTTGGGGCCTGGGAAAGCACTAGAGGACGGCCCAAAGCCCTGGGACTTTTTACCTGTGTGGGAGAACTGAAAGAAGCTCCTGGCTCCTGGCTTTGGAGCATCTCAGCCTTGGCAATTGCAGCCATTTGAGAAGTGAACCAGTGAATGGAAGATCTTTCTCTCTCCTCTCTGCAAAATCTGACTTCCCAATAAAAATAAAATAAATCCTTGTAAAAAATTTTAAAAAAGAAGCCAACAGATGAAAAATTCTCTTCTCCCTTCCCTTTCTCCCTCTATGTCCCTCCCTCAGTTTCTTCCTCTCCTCCTGTCTGCCTGTTTACCTGCCCTCCTCTTTCTCTCTACCTCTCCCCCTCTCTCTTTCTCTCTCTCCCACTCCCTCCACCCCTCTTTCCTTCCTCTGTCTCTCCCTTTCTCCTCTTCCTCTTTTCCTCTCTGTCTCTCTGCCTTTCAGGTTTATGTAAGTAGATATGAATTCAGCTACACATATACATATAAAGCTGTCATCATGTCATTTGTTTTTGTTTTTGACTGTTTTTACTTCATGATTAGGTAGGCTGAAGGATTCTACCAAATGTAAAGCAAATATTGTTGTTAAAGGAAATTCTTCTTTGATTTAAATGTTTGAATGGCTACGCAAAATAAAACAAAACAAACCAAAAAAAACTTTATTTTGTGAAATTACCCTCCTATTTTTATTTTATAATTTTTATTTGTAGTTTTACTTTCCAACTAACCAGATAACAATAAAACAAGGCAGTAGAATTATTAGGGAGAGACTTTGAGCCTCCCCCTGTTGTGCAATCCAAAGCAACTGTCACACTTTCTTTTTTTTTTTTTTTAAGATTTTATTTTTGTTGGAAAGTCAGCTATGCATAGAGGAGGAGAGGCAGAGAGGAAGATCTTCCGTCTGATGATTCACTCCCCAAGTGACTGCAACAGCTGGTGCTGCACCGATCCGAAGCCAGGATCCAGGAACTTCTTCCGGGTCTCCCACACGGATACAGGGCCCCAATGCTCTGGGATGTCCTCGACTGCTTTCCCAGGCCACAAGCAGGGAGCTGGATGGGAAGTGGAGCTGCCGGGATTAGTACCGGTGCCCATATGGGATCCTGGTGCATGCAATGTGAGGACTTTAGCTGCTAGGCCACTGCACCAGACCCCAACTGTCACACTTTCAGACGTACTACCTCCCCAGTGGTGGAGTGACTCTCCCCTAACGGCATCCCACGGGAGGCACCGGGTGTGGAATGGTCTCACCTGAAACCCCCCTTTGGAGCACTTGACCTTAGCTTTATTGAACATATGCTCAGTTATACTTAGAAAATAGCATAGATATTCTGGATTCTGAGTGTAGGAAGAGGCTTTAGTTTATCATTTATGCTTAGTTATGATACAGCAAAGTGTAGAGATATAATTTAGAAATCATTTCCCTTGGAATTTTTCTTAAAGGTTTGTTTGTTTTTATTGAAAAGGCAAATTTACAGAGAAGGGGAGATGGAAAGAAAGATCTTCAATCTGCTGGTTCTCTTCCCAAATGATTGCTATAGCCCAAGATGAGCTTATTCAAAGCCAGGATCCAGGAGCTGTTTCCAGGTCTCTGATTTGGGTGCAGGGTCTCAAGGCTTTGGGCTGTTCTCCACTGCTTTCCGAGGCTACAAGCAGGAAATTGATGGGAAGTGGAGCAGTTGGGACACAAACCAGTACCCATATGGGATCCTGGGTGCTTGCAAGGTGAGGATTTAGCCACTAGGCCAAAAGGCCCTTTTCTCAGAATTTGAGAACATTTTTCCTCATTTTCCAGTGTTAGTTTTGAGAAGTCCCATCCTAATTGTGCTCCATGTAAAGCTCCTCTTTCATCTTTCAAGACATTAGGGTCTTTTCATAGTCACCAGTTTGTGAAATTGCGTGCCTCTTCCTAAGTAGGTCTTTTATCTTCTCTTATGAGGAGTGTTCAGTGTGACTGACCCCTTTAGGTTTGAGCTTTCGATCCTCTGTGTACTGTATTCCATGCTGTCTGCCATCCAAGACTAGTAATCCTCGTAACTTTCTAAAAGCAAAGTTAGAATGAAGTGCTTTTCCCAAATCTGGAAATGTTAAAAGGGGATCAAAAGGCCAATGAGAAATTCCAATAGTTGTGGCAAAAATACAGTGTAAGAGATCACATATTATACTTAGTATGGCAAATAAAAGTCACAATGAATTTTTAAAGTTATTTGTTATTCTGTTGTGTAATCCAGATTTAATATTTAAATCTATAATTTATACATGTAATTTAAACATGTAATTTATAACTCTTAGTAAAAACAGAAACATCCAGTGCTAAACCCATAATTTCTGAACACTGAGAACGCGTTTGATTCTGTCCCTTGTTTTACAGTTTGGTCCCCCTAAAATCACCAACAAATATTACGCATTTGACTACCCCAGCTCCCACTGGCTTCAGCCAAGTCAGGACAGTTAATTTCCCTAGGCCAAACATGGCAAAACTACATTTCCTTAAGTCTTGCTAGGCTGTAGATTTAAATTTTCTTTTCCCAAAAACGGCGGCTGAAGTAAATCAGTTTTGTGAGGTAAACATCTGCTGAAATGTGCTGTAAAACATGCTAGCATCTCAAGGAAGTTATGAAGCTACGTGCTTCCTCCACTGCACCATGCTTTTGGAATGGCTACCCCTGTGAAGCCAGTGTTGGTTGGGCAGCTTCGTTGTGGAGATGGCCTGTGTCTTATTATACATTTACTTCTGGATACAAATTGTGATCAGAAGATAATTTCATGTGGACTAGTAATGAATCCTATTTTTTCTTTTCCCATCAGCTTTTTGGAGACTGGGAAGCCCAACTGCGGAGAATAATGAAGCTCATCGCTGGAGGTGGACTGTCCATCACCGGTTCTCACAACATGTGTGGGGACTACCTTTACAGTGGCCACACGGTCATGCTCACACTCACCTACTTATTTATCAAGGAGTGTAAGTCTAAAATGGCCTTCCACTGTTAACTTCCTCCCTCACCAATAGCTCCTTGATCTGTGGTCCTTTAGTAAATCAAGTTTTCTGCAAAGTGCTGAAACTAGACTGAGGGTTTCTCACCTTTCCTGGGATGCAGCTGTCACCCAGAGAGATGTGTGGAATGAAGGACATAATTGCCCTTCTTGAGGGATTGTCTTGGTTTCTTGAAGCATCAGCTATAACGTTGGGGTGGAGGCAGTTTCAGTCAAGGGTAGTGCTGAAAGTATGTTGTAAGCTGGTTACACAGCCTCTGTTAGGAGCCAGAAGGGAATCTTGCAGGAATACAAGGATCTAGGATCTGACCCGTGTGATGGTAGTGATTCATCTGCTCACGTGGTGGCCAGTTTTCTGTGTGTGTGTGTTGCTGTGCTGTGCTAAGGGTACAGAATGGACCGTGTGATATCTCTGCCCTCAAAGGGCAATGAGCCTGTGAATGACAAACATAAAGTAAGAAATTTTCTTTAAGAGACATACTTAACATTTTTTATTATGAAGCACACAAAAACAGTTACCTAAATAGTTACCTTTATATTGTTCACATTTCAGATACCCATATGTTATTGGTGTTGTGCCAAATTCACTTTAAAGAGGAGATGAAATGTTAGCATATGATTAAAAACTTATAATTTCTCTCTCATTTTCTATGATTATTTTCAGGCATATTTTTATATTTGAGTGTTATAGTGTTTTTAAAATTTACCTAAATGGTGTGTGTGTGTGTGTGTGTGTCCCATATCTATACATATATGTGTTCTTATACCATTGTTTCCTCACAGATCATGTTTTTGAGACATGTGATTCTGGGTTTGCATTTTAATATCATTGATACTTCAGCCATTGCACATAAACTACTGGTTATTTAATTCACTTTCAGCTTGGAGAAAATCCAGCTGTCTTCAGTATATTACTGTGAGAAGCAGTCTAATGAATTTTACACAGGCCATGTCCACAAAGAGCAATGAGTTTTCACAGAGGAGGTCGTTCATTGCAGTTTGGGGGTGGCTTGGCAGCTCTATGTGGTGGAATAGGGGCCATTTGAGAAGTAGGGACAATGGGGCATGGAAGGCCATCCTAAGCCATAAGGAAGCTGAATTCCCAGGAAACAGGATGCCTGTACGGGGGCAGTGTCATCTTGTTTGTCCTTCAGAGAGGGGTAAACACTTTTGCAGCAGCTTACAAGGTGGGTCAGAGAGAAGTGAGACTGGAGGCCAAGAGAAAAGTTAGGAGGTTGGTTTCTGCTTTAATTGGGAAAGAAGACTTGATGCCCTGATCTAGTGTGACAGCATCAAAATGGAGAGAAGTGGGATCCTGAGTCATCTGGTAACATGGTAGACTTGGGGAAGGGGCAGAGGTGAAAGACCAAATGAAAACCCAGTTTGGACCTTGAAAAACTCAGATAAGAAAACATGGAAAGAGAAGAGAACATGGCATTTAGAACACTGAAAGAGAAAAGGATGAATAATACTCTTTCTTCCTGTGCTTAGTATGTGACCAAATATAGTGAATTCTAGCCGTGTGTATTCAGAATGCTTAGGGTGTTGTCCAGCCGTGTAGCATATGTAGCCTTGTGTGGACAGTGGGAACCAGGTGTCAGCAACCCTGGGGAAGGGATTCCTTCTGTTGGCTGGTACCTGAAATCCTTCAGTGGGATCAAAGCTTAGCCTTCTTGATGGTAAGGCAGTGTTCCACACTGGGAAATGCAGAGGTCTTAGGTTGCAAAACTCTGATTTTTGAATCCTGATGCCATCTCTTACTGGGGAAAAAAAAAAAAAAACTTTTTACCTCATTTTCAAGACCTAGTTTTTTCATATTTCCAATGAGTTATTCAAGATTGGAGAACAGAGGACAAAAGATAAAATAGATGGTGCATATGGACTCTAGCAGAGTTTCTCAAAAAATAAAGAGTAGCTATCGTTTGTATTGTCTTGACAGAGTAGCCAATGCAAATAGTCCTGGAAGACATCCTCACCCTAATCATCTAGTTAAAACCATGGACTGAACTTCACACCTTCTTTCTTCTACTCTCCCCCCCATTGACTCAGCTTTTTCTTTTTTCCATAGCTTTAACAGCTTTTAGTAGTATGCATGGCTTGCTTATTTACAGTAGTCATCATCTCCTGTCTTCCTTCCCAGAAGGCAACCTCCCCACAGAGCCAGGCTCTGTGCCTTTTTTTTCAGTGATCCAGGTACCTGAAGCAGTGCCTGATATGGTAGATGCTATTGCATAGCGGATGAATGGATGAATAAATAATTCCTGAACCCCTTAAGAATCTGATAGAAACCTGAGGCTGCTCTCAAGGGGTGGAGAGAAGTGGTATCCTGAGTCAGCAGTCTGACGTTCTGCCTAGTCAGCCCATTGAGAAGCAAGGGAGAGAATGCACAGCCAAGGACTTACCTGATAGCATCCTATTTTGGGGAAGACTCTTTCGGACTAGAATTCTTAGGCATTTGCATTTTCTTCTAATTGTTAATATGGAACTCTCAAAGACTTTCAGCCTTCTCTAAGGCTGTACAACTTGGAAAGGAAATGAGACCATTGAATCACTTACAATTGCTTTATCCATTTAGAAGGTTCTGTGGGCTAATGGGTTTTGATTTTTGTACAGAGCATTAACCCCAAATTAGCTACAGGTTAAAAAAATAAAAAGTTGTCTTTTAAAAATGGAGCATGGTTAGTATGACCTTATTTGACTAGGATCATCATTAAACTCTATTTTTGATGAAGTGAATCAAGTAATAACCAAATATTACTTGCTGGTGAAATCATGTTATAAAAAAAATTGTTTATGATCTAACTTTGATTACATGGCAAGTGAGAACCCGTAATATTTGGTAGTCCAAGAAATACATGTTCAAAAGGAAAGACCTGGGGCCAGCATTGTGGTGCAGCAAGTTAAGCCACTAATTGTGATGCCATCTTCCCATTTTGGACCACTAATTCAAGTCCTGGCTACTCTGCTTCCAGTCCAGCTTCCTGCTAAAGTGCCTGTGAAGGCAGTACAAGATGGCTCAAGTACTTGGGCCCCTTCCTTCTCTTCTTGGGCAGACCAGGATGGAGTCCTTGACTTCTGACTTCAGCCTGGTGCAAACCTAGCTATTATGACCATTTGGAGAGTGAACCAGCAAATGGAAGGTCTCTCTCTCTCGCTCTCTCTCTCTCTCACTCTCTCTCTCTCTCTCTCTCTCTCTCACACACACACACACACATATAGTATGATTCTACCTTTCAAATAAATAAGTGAATGGTTCAGAAATTATGGTTTGGGTGTGGTTGGGTGTTGTTAGGTGGTGTTAGAATTATTTGTACAATAGAACTATTGCCTATGTCTTCTCATTTCAGATTCCCCTCGAAGACTCTGGTGGTACCACTGGATTTGCTGGCTTCTCAGCGTAGTTGGAATCTTCTGTATTCTCTTAGCGCATGACCACTATACTGTGGACGTGGTGGTGGCATATTATATCACCACAAGACTCTTCTGGTGGTATCACACTATGGCCAATCAGCAAGTGAGTTTTGTCTCAATTGGGTCAAAGGATGAAGGGTTGGAGGAGGAAGGGAGGGGTAAGGTGGAGTTTGGATTACTGATAATCCACAGGTCTCTAACATGTTACTCAAAGTATTAGCAACTGAGGGTTTGTTACCCTCTGCCATAGGATCCTCTTTGAAATCAAGAAGAAAAAAGAAATATGTTAATGTAATTAAATAGAAGATTGCTTCCTTCTAGAAGAGTGTCACATTCACTGTCCATGGAAAAGTATTTCCTAAGCCCATGTCTTCTCAGTGCTTGATCCTTCCCGCCCTATTCTTCCTACCATGGTCCCATCATCAGTGCAGTATTTTAGCAATTAAGTCTCTGCATTTAGCTTCTATGCTGTTTGCTCTTTTATGAGTGAATAGCTAGAAAGCTTTCTAAAGCTTTGGTAGGCCATAGGTGAGTGAGTAGTCACAAGTTCTTGCACTCCCAAAGATGCTGCTGCTGTTTGTGGTGTGCACTCAATTTCCAGATGAGCATTGAGTCTAGCAGAATGATGATAATGTGAGTGAAGCTGTTGGGTGAGCATAGCACAGGTCCGGGGTCCTTTATGAATTTTAACAGTATGTGAACTTGAAGTGAAAAATTCCATGATTCTTTGTAATTTTAGGTGCTAAAGGAAGCTTCCCAGATGAACCTCCTGGCCAGAGTGTGGTGGTACAGACCATTTCAGTACTTTGAAAAGAATGTCCAAGGAATTGTACCTCGATCTTACCATTGGCCCTTTCCCTGGCCAGTAGTGCACCTCAGTAGGCAAGTTAAATACAGCCGGCTGGTGAACGACACGTAACAGCTGTACAAGTGAGGTGAAGAGGAACTGTCCAAAGTGCTAAGAACTCCACTGAGAAGATGCCATAAACAAACACCTCCCTAATCCTATCACCTTTCAACAGTTACCTTGACTTAACCTATCGAGTTACCTGGTCAGCACTGTGATCTTTTTTCTCTCCAAAGGACCTGCGTTGGACAACAATAAAGAAAAGTTAACCTATCATGCACTGTTCACATTTCCTGTTCATAGTCGGGGATTTGCATAATAACCCACAACCACCATGTTCCTTTGTATATGATGCAGCAGCATAAATGTAAGCTTTTATATAACATAAGTTCTGGTGTTTCCAGTCAAATCTGGAAATAAAGCGTATTATTTTCTTGGGAAAACATACTTTTCATATCTCTTGCCCCAAAGATTGGGCTGTAAGCCATTTTCTAGCAAATGTCTCTATGAAGGTTTCTAAGTACCTGATTGGGGTCCACTTATGAAAACTTTCTACCTGTTGCACCGATATTCAAAGAAAAATGACAGACACAGAAAGGTATGGTAACTTCAGGTTTTGTAAAATCAATACAGTGTGTCAAAAAGTGCAAAAAAAAGATTCTGTTATAAAGTGATTTTCTAAGTATTTGCTAACTTTATTTTTCAAAATGATGTTATGAAAACCAAATTTGAAGATTTTTACATGTCAGAGAGAAGAGAGTTAAAACATAAAAATGCTTCTTGGGAGAGAAATTTGTCTATGTTTCTAGTGCCTTTCTTGTCTTGATTGTATGGTCAGTAGGCAATCTTAAATGTTTTTATTTAAAGTATTCCACAAAAATATAAATGTATGTATACACTACTAAATTTTGCATTTGTCACTAAATCAGAAGACTGCTTACGGTTTTAAAATTGCTCTGAATTTAAAAATGGAGACGTTAATTAGAAAGTCAGAACCTGTTCACATATTGTGAGCAGTTGACAGTGTCATTGTAGCACTTACATAATTTTGTCATCTATTTGGTAGTTCAGTTCTAACTACACAGTGAAAACAGCCATGAATATTTTTTTTAAAGAGAGTTTTGAAAATGATCACTTATCTAAAACTTGAAAGCTGAAAATTAGTATCCATACTCTCATGGCAATTTTGTTGGTGAACAACAAAAAAGAGATCTATTTCTTTAAAATATATTTGTGCAGAAACTGCATGTAATTCTGTTTCACTCCTAACATACGTATGTTTGGGGAAGTATTCTATTCTATACTTGCCAATGTGGAGAACAAAATAGTTTTTTAAGAATGAAGAAGTATAAATATCCATTCTGTATTTTACGTGCAGCAGAATTATCTTCTGTAGGGTTTTTTGTGTATTCACAAGGTGATATTTGTATTGTATAACAATAATGGTGAAGGAAATAAAAAGGCTTTTAAAATTTTGTTTGTTTAAAATATTTGTAAAGTTATTATTCCAGAGAGTATACTGATATCTTACAGCTTATCTAGATCATAAATTAATCAAAATGCACTTTTTAATAAAAACTGATACTTAAAATAAATGGCTCGTATGGTTAATGTGTTCGTTCACATTTCTTCACAGAAAGTATAATTGAAGTAATTGAAGCAAGATAGGAAACCAAGCTTCTCAGTTGTTTCACAAAGTCTCACACAGGACCTTTAGTTATGTGTTTTTGAATTTATCCTTGAGATCATGTCATATGTATTCTAATCTCTAACCTGTGCAGACTGGGTATATTTTTCTTCAGTATATTTAAAACAAGAAGAGATGTTACAGTCAAATTTTACCAGCAATTTTGAATTATTTAATTCCTAACCAAGTTAGTCACTTAATTTTTCTCCCTGTTACTAAAAGTACAACTTTTCCAGTTTGAGATGGAAAGGAAAAGTAAATCTGAAAAGAGAGTAATAGTACTTTCACAATCAACAGGAATAGAAAAGAAATCTTTAGGAATGAAATAGAATGTTACTAATTCTGTTGTGGTAAAGAAAAAGGAAGGTGTAACCTGCAGAGGCCTGTTTTTGTTGAGGGGTGTGTTTAGCAAGGCTGGGAACAAAGCCAGTGTAAGTTTCCTGCATAGCTTTGAACCTGGACATGACATGCTAGAATCCGTTTTTATTTATCCATGAAAATCCTTATCTTGGACGCTGGATTAGGTGCTGCATATTGAAAGGAAATATAAATTGAATCAGTGGAAGTAAATTAGTAAATGCTAAAAGTAGTTCCTTCATCTTCTGCAAAAGTTAAAATAATCACATGAAAAAGTCATGATTGTGAGTTTGTATACCATGTGTGGATCAAGCCAGCCACCTGCTGATGCTCTTGAGTTGACATACCTTGTGGTTCTCTAATCTGCAAATCCCAGGAATAAAAGAAATTACAGTGTGTTCTGGAACATTGTGGTACAGTACAGCTGTCTGAGTGAAGACATGTGCTTTCTTGTGCTTTAGTTTGATAAGCTAAGGACCTAGACTAGGCTTTGGTCTGTTTGGCTCCTTGTATTTGTGTTGCTTGTTAACCCTTACACAACCACACTATGTAGTTACTAGCTCCATTTTACGTATACACCACCCACCAAGGTGACTCAGAGATACAAAATAACTTGCCCAAGGGCATGCCACCGGTTGTTGGTGAAACTGGTTGGAATCCAAGTTTCTGCCCTCCTCCAACAATATTGTCAACTTTCCAGAGGTCTTCAGGAGGAGACTACGGTGAGGGAAATCTTTGCCTCTGGAGCAGAGCTAAGGGATGTCTGACTGTGGTTCAAATGGCAGGAATTGTACAGTGTGAGATCTGAGAGAATTTTGCCAGTTTCCTAATCACTGTTTTCTTAAACATCATCCAAACTTAGTACCACATAAAAAGAATACATGCCCTAGTGTGAACACTATGTACAGAACATCAACCAGGATTTGAATTACATAGGAGACATGTTGCTTGATTCTAATCTTTTATCTTTTTTCTTCCTGTAATCAGGAAACTTCCTCTGAACAAATTAGAAACTGAGTTTTCTGCTCATTGACGCCTTACAGTACTTAATGTGGCTTCAAGTTAAGGGTGCCGGTAAGGAGGAAATGAAGTGATTTATCAGACGGTCCTTACACATTTAATGTGATAAATGTTGATATTAAATTCACTTGTAGTTCTAATGTCTGCCCTATTTGAGTCTCATTCTGATATTTTTCTATCTTCAGATTTCAGCATGCTTCATAATTTGGTGATGGGGGTAGGGGATGGTTACACTGTATTAGACGATAGAAATTAAGGTAAGTGGACCTGAGAGTGAGGGTTGATTAGTCTGGGAGTTAAAATCTCTTTAATGTTTGATGTAGCTGTAGGTGTCAGGGGCTCCGAGTTTCTATAGTTTTTCATGACTGGGGTTGACTTTGACGTTCCCTGCACTGACTTACTCAGAGTTTGTGTCTTGCAGTACTTTTAGGTTTAATACACTGATTTTCATGCTGGAAAGCCATTGGTGTGGTGGTAAGGCACTGGGTACGTGGGATAGGGTTGTCCTAAAACTTGCTCATTGATTCAGTAGGATTCTGTCTCCAGATTTAACACAAACAAGGTAAATTTTCCCTTCAGCCACCTCTCCTTCCTGTCCTAGCTGCAGCATTCCCAATCTCTTTGCGGCCTTGACCCCTGTTCTTTTGACTCTATTTTTATCTCCCAAAGTCTGATGGAAAGCCCAGAAAGGAATGGAGTGGGACGAGCAGGCACTGATAACTCCTTCGTTTTCATGCAGCTGTGCCAATCAGTGTTAGTGTTTTTGTTTCATGTAAGCAGATCTTAGTTATGATGTTGAGCAAGCCTGTCTCTCAAGATTTGGGGATAGTCCTTGAACCTGTGACCTCTATTCTTTATGGGTTCCTTTTTGAAGATGTTTTCTGAGAATAGCATCATGGATAAAGCTGCTGTTTGCAGCACCGACATCCCATGTGGGTGGGTTCCAGCTCATGTCTTGGCTGCTCAGCTTTCAATCCAGTTGCCTGCCAATGGCCTGGGGAAAGCAGCAAAAGATGATATGTTTGGGCCCCTCATACCCCCCACTGAACCCAGATGAAACTCCTGGTTGCTGGCTTTTGCTTGTCTGAGCCCTGGCCATTGTGACCATCTGGGCAGTAAACTACCAGACAAAAAATTCTAAGTCTTGACTTTTAAATTAATTAATTTTTTTGTTTGATTGTTCTGTGTTTTAAGAGACACACACAGGGCTTGGAGGCTTACCCGAGCCTGTTGTGTGCTAACATGTGCTCTGACTCTGCTGGGAAGGGGGTGTGTACAAGTCCAGGTGTCTAGTGGAAAACCTATTGACTTAAGGAAGTAGGAACATAATGCTCTATGAAAAATAAATGTTCCTCAAACAACCTCATCAAAGGAAAAATGATGCTTCTCTAAAGACCCAGTTGAAAATAGAATTCTCAAAATCCTGTAACTGTGTTAGAAAATGTGAGTGTATACCATGAAACATGTTAATATAGGAAGAAAAGAGCGCCAAATTTTTCTGAGGAAGATTCCTTTGGACAGGGAGGGTAGAGGGTTTGGGGTTCAGCCAAACAGCTGGGCATCTAAGGCCACGTCTGGCAGTTGGTCCTGTCTTGTCTTCAGAATGCCTCAGTGTTTTGTAGATACTTGAGTGAGTCACCTTCATTTTCCTGAAGGTAAACCCTATCTCCTCTCAGGTCAGATAGACAAATTTAGCTCTTTTAAAGCTCATTGAAGAGGATTATAAGAGCCTATTTACTACATGCTATATTATACCAAAGGCAAAAATTGTCTTAGCTCTAGTATTAAATAGAACTGATTTTCTTCTCTGCAACTGATTGGACTTTTTGTCTCAAGACATTATTTTTTTTTTTGAGATTTGTTTATTTTTATTGGAAAGTCGGATATATAGGGAGGAGGAGAGACAAAGAGGAAGATCTTCGATCTGCCGATTTACTCCCCAAGTGGCTGCAATAGCTGGAGCTGAGCTGAAGAGAAGCCAGGAGCCAGGAGCCAGGAGCTATCTCCAGGTCTCCCACACAGGTTCAGGGTCCCAAGGCTTTGGGCCATCCTTGACTGCTTTCCCAGACCACAAGCAGGGAGCTGGAAGAGAAGCAGGGCGGCTGGGACTTGAACCAGTGCCCATATGAAATCCTGGTGTATGCAAAGTGAGGACTCTAGCCACTAAGGCTTCTGCACTGAGCCCATGACATTATCTTTTATATGAGACAGACTATTGGGAAATTCCTCTTAGGCATCTTTATCCCTTTCCAGACTTCTGATGTAATGGGAAATTCTAGACCAAGGGAAAGTGAGTTTGTTTCCCTCGGTCCTTTCTCTAGGTAGAAGTGGTCCCTTGAGCTTCGAAATAAACTTATAGCTAGAAACAGCTTTTATTTGTTAAAATTCTAGAATTAATGTGAAGCCAAACTCCAGCAGCTGGATAATTTTTTTCTTTCGACTACTTTAGGTATCTGAGAGCAGTGTGCTATGCTTGAAGCTGGTGCCTGGAAAAGAATTGCCAGAAACATTGGTCAACAACCAAGAGTTGCTTAAAAGAAACTTCGGGAGACCAGGAGCAAATGTCAGGTGCCTGTAGTCTAGAATGCTTGTCCTACTTTGGGATGTACAATGTTTGCTCAAAGCTATAATCTGCAATATTTTCTATTTGTTTAGTCCATTTCATTTTTCTTATTCTTTTGGGTGGGGCTTTTTATTGGCAGGTAATGGTATCTATGTGACCCTAAATAGGTTCTCCATTAGCTTGGATTATCCAAAGCAGTTCTACCTGGAAGTATGAAATAACAGAGGTGAGCCCCTTTCTCTCCATTTCTCTCTATCTCTGAGAAGCAGAGACACACAGAGTTCCCATCCATTTGTTCACTTCCCAAACACCAGCAACAAGTGGAACTGGACTGAGTCAGCAGCTAGGACTTGGGGACTCAGTCCGTATCTTCCACATGGGTGGCAGCAAGCTACTTACTTGCACCATCACTACTGCCTCCCAAAATCTGCCTGAGTAGAAAACTGGAGTCAGCAGCTGGCATTCAGTCTCAAAGCTGGATGCTTTGGTCTGGCTATCTTAACTGCCAGGCTAAATACATGCTTTTGTTATTCCTTTAGCTAGCCCAATCAACATGTCTTCTAACAATAGCTTCAACCAAAACAAAATAGGCTTATTTTTTTCCCTAGGGTTCTATTCAGATCTTCTGTCATAGGCCTGAGTCTAAGTAAGGCAGGGTAGTAGTGGATGGAGATGTGGTCATTCCCAAATATAAACCTAAACAGCTCCTGAAAGGAAATGAGTCAGTCAAGTCATTTCTGGAGCGATCAACATACTAAAGAGGTGATCACGGAAGTTGCTCTAGTTTATGCTTTAACAACCAGAAACTCTTAAAATTGATGTGAGCAGCCAGCTTTGCTCTCTATGAAAATGAAACAGATCTGCAAACCTGTGCATCTCTGAGACCCAAAAAGCCTTGGGGGAGTGAAGAAAGGGGAACGTCAGATTCAAAGGAAACATCGCACATCATCTGTGTGGAGAAGTGAACGAAGCCTTCTTTCAATTTATCTTATGTATTAGGTATTGATTACAGGTTTGAAAGTTAAGGGGATAGATGAATGAATGAATGGCTTCATTGTTTTGTGAAGAAAGAAAGTAGCTGAGGGTATTGGGAAGCTCTAGGAGCAGTCTGAGAAAGCGTGGAGAAACAAATGTCTTCTCTGAGCTTTTTCACTTGGAAACAGGGGCTATTTTGTGTATCTTGAATTACATATGGATCAGTAGTGGCCTGGACATACTGGTTTAGTGCTCGGTAAAGAACCAGGGTTATTCATTATTATAAAGAGGGAGGGAGAAAGTGAGAATGAGAGTGTGAGAGAGAGCATAGACCCCACTCTGTGGAGCCAATAAAAAAAGTTCCAAACAATGGAAAGAACAGCTCCAATCTGTATTCACCCTTCATTTGAAATTCTGAGTATTCACTTTTATAGTCTAAACATATTCACACCTTAGTACCTTTAACAAAGTAATTGTTTGCTGTATATGGATACTGGGTATTTAAATATTGGTGGATACTGAAATAGCCTAACAGGACTTCAGGTGATGAGCCAGAAAAGCAATGAGGCAGAAACATGTGTGCTCACCATGATTTGGTGGCACCTTGTGTCTGTTCCACTTCCCAGCTCTGTACTCTCACAGAACTGATATTGTTAGAATTATTTCCTGCTAATATTATGTATTAGCATAAGAGGAGAGGAGAGAAAACACATATAGTATGCACTGTCTTTTCTCCATTTTCATGTAATGAGGAACCCACAGCCATGCAAAGATGCCAATCTTTTTTTTTTAAAGGTATCTATTTGTTTATTTGAAAGGCAGGGTGACAGAGAGGAAGAGATGGAAAGGGAGAGAGCATACATCCATCGCATCACTCCCCAAATACCCAGAGTCACAATGGCTGGGCCAGGTCAAAGCCGGGACCCTGAATCTCAATTTGAGTCTTCTGTGTGACAGGGGCCAAAGCACTTGACCCATCTTCCACTGCCTTGCTAGTGTCTTAGCAGGGAGCTGGATCAGAAGTGGAACAGCCAGGATGCAAATTCACCCAAGTGGGATGCTGGTGTCCCAGGCAATGACTTAACCAGCGTGCCACAGGAAGCCATAATCCCATCACAATGCACTGATGGGAAGTGTGTTCATTACAAACCTATTAGCCTTTGATGTCTGGCTGCTGTTAGGCTGTGCCATGGTCCCCTGGTAGGGAGGAAATGGAGAGAGCATGATGTGTGTTCTCCACACCAACTTCTTAGAGCAGTCAGCATTAGCATACCACATTGCAGCTGCCTCAGTGAGCCTCACAGGCACCATACCAGAGGCCAGAAGATGAATTTGGAGGCATTCACTAACTGCATTTCTCCACCAACTCCAGGAATGAACATGTACAGCAAATGGCTTGAAAACAAATCATGTCCAATTAGTACTGCTGGCACCTGCTCCTTTTGAAACCATCACTGGTGCTCATCTCTCTTGCTCATTTCTGTGTTCATGAGCTGACACCAGATGCCTC